GAACCCTAGAACCATACTTTCTGACTTATCCTCAGATGTGCCGGCACTCACATCTCTAGATACTTCTAAGGAGCCCTGGTAGCACTGTGGGTTTGAAGTGTTGCACTAACTTCAAGGTCAGTGCTTTACACTGTATCAGCCACTCTGGGGGGAAAGGGGCCTCTTCTCTCCCGTAAAGATTCATGGTCTCAGAAACCCTTTATAGGGCTGCTAGGCGTTGGAATGGTGGGTTTGGTTTTAGTTTTGCTACAGATATTTCTGTCTGTTCTAGCCTCTGTGTACATCTGCACCTATCCATATTCCAATTTGCGTATACCCATTTAGCTGAGCTCAAATGCTTGATTTTAATTTGGTTGTTCTGTGCTCGCCACATTCACATTTGATGTAAAACAACAACAACCACCCAACAAAGCTCTATGGTATAAGCCTACTTGGTATCTATGTATACAGATGTGTTATTATAAAAGAGCGACTATGCTGTATTTGTCCATATCAGTTTGCTTTATTTCACTTAGCATTATGCTCTCAAAGTCTCTCCATGCTATGTTTGGGGACTCTTCATTGTTCTTTATGGGGGCATACTATTTATTGCATATATGTGCCATGGTTTGCTTATGTATTCATCTGTTGGTGGCCACCTTGTTTCCATTTATTTGTTACTGTATCGATCCTTACCAAAGCCTCTTGGTGGGTTAAGTTTTATTTTTCCCTTGCTTCTTTCAGAATCCTCTCCTGATCTTTGTTTTTTAGAAACAGAGCTGATCATTTTGTACCTCTTGTGATAGGGGTGCGTGTAGCTTCCTGTGTTTGCAAGCTTGGCCCTCTGTTCAGATCTGGAAAATTTTCTCTTGATTATCTCTTAAAAAACCGTTTCTGTGTCTTTATTGTTGTCAAGATGATCTGAGATTCCAAAAACTACAATGTTAGATATCTCTATGAATCCCTTATTTTTTTTGAATCCCATATTTTCTTTCGAGTTTATTTGCTTTTCTTTGTTCTTTTCTATTGAGATGTGCTAAGTTTAGTTATTTTGTTTTCTAACTCATTTGTTCTATCTTTTGCCTGATCAACTCTTGTTGAGTGCTTCTCTTGTTTTATTCTTCACTTCTAAAATTCTCCGTTCCTATTTATTTATTTATTTGTACTAGTGTGTATACAGAAATACTTTGTCTTCTGTGGATTTTGCTTTCTTTAAATATATGTAGCATCATAGTCTGAGATTCTCAATTTTTTTGTATTAGTCCCTCCTCCATAGGAGACATTTCCTCTTCAAATTTTGGTTTTTCTTCTCATGTTATTTTTATGTGTTTTACTAAGTTTTGGGGAACGCTGGCTTTTTTTCCTTTTAACTTCAAATATTCTGGATTTTGTGGGAAAACTTTTAGATTGGGTGCTGTGGTGGAACATTGGCCCAGCACCCAGCTGATAACCTAAAGCCTGGGGTCCACACTTACCAGTGCTCCCTGGGAGAGCAGCATCCTACCTCCAGAGACCGCCCTGGGAACCCAGGAGCAGCTCCAGTCCGCCCAATGAGGTCCCTAAGAGTCAAAGTCCGTCTGGAGCAGTGGTTCTCAACCCTCTTAATGCTGTGACCCTTTGATACAGTTCCTCATGCCGTGGTGACCCCCAACCATAACATTATTTTTGTTGCTACTTCATAACTGTCTTTTTGTTAGTGTTATGAATTGGGTGACTCCTTTGAAAAGGTCATTTAATCCCCAAAGGGGTCGCGCAACCCACAGGTTGAGAACCACTCTGGAGTCAGCGGGCTTGGTATCTTCTCCTTTGAACCACTAGAGGGCACTATTAGCCTTGGGTTCCTCCCACCCTCTCCCCCCCAGCTGATTTTAGGAGTCTGGATGCTGATCCTTAGGCTTCATCACACGTGTTTGTATGGTGGGAGGATTAGCTGGTCTCAGATGTTGATGTTAGTAGCCTGACTTTCCTGTGGCGAAAGTGGGGAGCTCTCTGTCTTTATTTCATGGGTGCCCCTGCTTAGGCTTCCTCACTGTGTCCCCCTTTGGGGAGGGAGGGAGCCAGCTGCTCCCATCTTGCCCTGTTCCCTTAACCATTCCTCCTGGTCTTAGTGCCTGTCTGTCTGAGGCCTCAGTGAGAGTCAGCACTCTCTCACCCAGTATTAGGACCCCACGAAGATTCAGCACACTTTCAGCACACTTGCAGCGCCAGGGTCCCTCTCTTTTCACTGCTTCTGAATTGTGTGGCCCATGAGCTCCAGTGGTCAATCTGTACCTCCGTAAATAAGCAAAAAACAAAAACCAGGCATCAGCTTCCTCAGATTAGCGCCTCTGTTTGGAGGAATGGCCAGTCCCGTCTGAAAATGGCCAAGATAAGCATGTGATTCCAACTTAGCAGGTAGGTTCTGCCAATGCGTGTGCTGTCCTTGCCTCTCTGGACTCCCCCTGCTCTCCCACACCTCAGCCGTCATCTGATCTCAGTCTGGGCTGGCTTTTGTGCATTCGGTGTTAAGTCAGCTCGCTGGGGGGGGAGTAATCGGGAGTGCCTACTCCACCATCTTACGCTGACTCGCATTTCTAGTCATTATTTTAGGGTTTATGAAGCTAGGAAGCTGAGACACAGAGAGGGAACGCACCTTACCGAAGACCACACAACTGTGTAAGGGCAGAGCCAGATTCAAATCCAGGCAGTCTGATTCCATAGTTCACAGCCATCTATCTCATTTTTTTGGTGTGCAGACACACAGTTACTTTAGGTCTGTTTGCCACTGTATTTTATTTTCTGCAGACAAGTTAGGTGGAAAACTAAAAATAAAATTTTGCTAGGACATGTCAGCATAAAAGCGTGCTTTTTCCACTTTGTAGAAGTGTTGTTTCTGATGTCATATGTGAGACACATTCACTGTGATTCTTTTGCATTACATAAGAATAGGATTATGAATTTGATTTACCTGGGCATCCAGTTCTAAGAATACATTTAGAAATGTTTTTCTCTTTACATTTCAGCTATATATATTCAGGTTAGTGTGTAAGTGATAACACTTAGTGTGTGCTTTGTCTTTTAACCTTGCAAACATTTAAGCAATTAGGGTTATAGCAGATCCTGGTTTGTGAAGTACTTGCTTTGTAGGATTTGGAAACGGATAACTTTGTGACAAATCATACTTCTGGCATTCTTTATTATAAAAAATACTAGATTACACTAAAGTTAATTGTCCGAATTCCTCCACCTTGTTGAAATAAATGTAGCACTTTCTGGGCCTGCCTTAAAAACAAAACCCAAAACTGGGCAAAACTCAGCTGCCACTAGATGGAGCCCTGGCTATTTGGGTAGAAACAAACTGGCTTGGCCATTAAATCAGGGCCCCTGGTATTTGAGGCCCTCAGCTTTTAATGGCAGAAGAGGCATCTTTGTTCTTTGCCTGACCTGCGGAGGGAAACCTCTGCCTTTCTTCCTGTGTGCTGGCTTTGACACAGGCCAGATGGCGGTGGGGATGGGCGGCGTGCAGGCCGCCTGGTGCAGCAGTTGATGAAACAGAATAGGAAGACGGTTTATGGTTAGCTGCGGGAGCACGACTAGGCTACAGCTTTGCTAAGTAATTAATTTACTGTGCGCACTTTTATAGGTCACAAGGAAAAAATACATTTTTATTTATAGTGTTGTGAGGTATAGACCTTTGATCTTTTATTAGTCAGTAGTCTGCTCCCAAGGAATGCTCTCTTGTCCCAGCTCTGCATTCACTCTCGAAAATGGCATGTTTATTTATGTTTAATGGTTCTTTCAGGCTGTGCATTCTGATCCTTACCTTCCCTCTTCCACCCTTTTGTCTCCAGTTAGTAATGCAAAAATGTTTTACTTTTGTAGTGAGTTTAGTTTGGAGAAGTCAGAGTTCAGGCATGTTAATACAAGCAGATTCCTGTCAGATATACTCCAGGGTGATTTGGTAAAATATATTACTGTGTATTCTGTATTTGTTCTTCAAGGAGGTCAGAAGAGAACAGGAACTGACATTTTTTTTGTGGGGAGCAGGGGATGATGGGGGGGGTAGGAAGTGAATAAGACAGTAATTTGACATCCATTTTTGGACATTTAGTGGTAAAGCCATTTACTATGCTGATTTAAATAAACTATTTGGCATTCATATTTAGCTATTATTTTTCATTTCCATTTGAAGTTCATCTTTCCCTTTACTGATTGAAATAGTATATAAAACCTTTTTAAAAATTCTAAAATCTGAACTTTTCCCTAATGTTCAACATGCACACAATTTCGAGATTCTTCCATAGGTTTCATTTTTCCAAATTAAAAAAAGGACATTTGCCCTTTTAAATGTTAGGCCATGAATATTATTCACACAATTGATCTAGAAATTATAAATTTCAATGAAACTCTATACTTAATTGTGTTTTTTTCCCCCAAATTTAATGCTGTTTTTAAAGTGAAATCTGATTTTTTTCCCCTGGTTGATTTGGCACAAAAGAAATGTCTTAATCTTACAATATTTTACAACCTTCTCCAGGGGAGAGAGATTTGCACATAGTTGTTGGACTAAGTGAGTATAGTATTTGTGCTCAGATATTACAGGGTCCCTATTTAGTCTCTCCCTGCTTGTTTGCTGTGTGCCTTTGGACTTGGAGCCTGGGTCCCCTCACATATATACTGGCGGTGCAACTTAGCTTCTAGGTTTATTGTTCTAATAAACAACACCATGCGTGCAACAGGCCTAAGCCAGTGCCTGGACATAGTAGGAGCTGAGTAAACGCTAAATCCTTTCAACTTTAACATTTTGCCTCTTCTTTCAACCATTTACATACTGTGTCCACATACTGTGCTGTTATATCATGCGCACTTTTATCATATGATATTAATTAACCATCTGAGAAACAGGCATTTAAGATGTTTTATCGGTGTGTGTGCTAAGTTCCAGATAGAACCCTATCCATCAGTTGTGCAATGAGTGTTTAACGTTGTGCTGTTTTAATTTTTGTTTTGTTTGTCTTTTTTCTCCTCTCAGCGCTGGCCTGTGCTCTTTGCTCTGGTTTTGGTGGTGAAGATACCCCAGGGATGTCTGCGTTCAACCTGCTGCACCTGGTGACGAAGAGCCAGCCCGCAGCCCTGCGAGCTTGTGGGCTCCCCTCAGGTCGCTGCTCCTTGTCCTGCTCATAGTGAGGGCCCTGGTCCGAGGGGGTGTGTCTGCTGCAGGAAATGATACACCAGAATGCTTTGCTAAACTTCGTTTTCTTTCACTTGGGCCCTAATTTGAAAGCGGAAATTGGTTATAAACACCACTCTATTTAGAGTAACGTTCATTTCCACAGTCTGTGTGACTCTGGGCAACACAGCCCAGTTTCCTTGCCCAGTGTGTCATTGTCGCTAATCATGATAGCTTTTTGTTCTTTAATGCACGCTGCACATCTGAAAGTCATAATGCTCACACGAGGCTGGAAGTCTTGATAAGAAAGTGCCTCAAATCACACAGCGTAGCACTTCCATCTGAGTAAAGAGTAATAAGAATGCTTTTTGTTTCACACGAAGCCCTTCTTTTAGAAAACAAAAATAAAAAGAGCAACCTTAGCATAATTATTAGTCATTCATTGTAGCTAAAAATAAAACATTCTACTTGATAATGCCCAAATAAAAAATTCGTATCACAGGCCAGTTGGTTCTGACATTAGAATGATCATGCTTTTAAAAAATGTGATTTTAAGTGTTTAAACGAGTGAGGTTTCAAAGTCTAAGATTTAATTATGTGTTCCTATCATAACTTTGATATTTTAATTTTATTACAAAAATCACATTTCTGTGGACACTTTTATTTATACCTTTTATTAATCTACATGTCTTTTACCACATTAGAAAAAAAACCAAACCAAACTTGCTGCAGCCGAGTTGTTTCCAACTCATAGTGACTGCTGGATGGAGTAGACGCACTTCCTGGCCTTTCTGAGGCTGTAGCTCGTCCCAGAAGCAGACTGCTTCATCCTTCACCCACAGAACAGCTGGTGGGTTCAAAACTGCCAACCCTTAGGCTAGCAGCCCAGCACTTAATCCAATGTGCCACCAGGACTTCTCTCATCACATGAGAGAGAATGTAATTCCAAGTTCATTAAACATATGCTGAATGTCAACTGAGTGCCAGAGAGGGCTGCTTTCTTCAAGACGTACAAGATGGTGATTGGAGCAGTGCAAGCGCCGTGGTGCCGTCTGGTGATGAGTCTAGACGCAAGACTGCGAATATGCCTGTCTGGGACCCTGGGGCCACCGGGGAGGACACTCCTCACCCTCTGCCCCGGGAATGGAGGGCCTCTGACTTTAAGCAGGATCCCATACAGGCTGTAGTGCCTGAGCTGAGTCTGAAACTGTGAGCAGCAGCAATTAGCCAGGTGTCCAAGAAATGGGAAGACATCCCTAGCATGTGCAGAAGTAGGCAAGACATAAAACCTGGTAAGTGCCAGGCATGCTCAGAGAAGGACAGGTCATGCTGTACGGCTCGCTTAGGGGAATGAGAGCAAGTAGACAGTGGTGAAGAAAGAAAGGAAGCCAAATCTTGAAGTGTCTTATGTAGTATTTGGAGCGATTTAGATCTTGGCAGGGGTTTGAAGGGGACTAGAATGATAGCATTTTGTAAAGCTTGTGTTAATATTGTGGTGGGTCAATGCTAATTCCAGAATGTTTCTATGGGAGGGTATGGGATAGAAACTAGATTGGAAAGGGAGATAAGACATTTGTCCTGAAGCTCTATTTGCCTAGCCAACACAATTCTGAAAATAGAATTTATGTCTGTTTGTGGTAACTCGAGGAGCTTGTGAAGTTTAATGCATGGATGTCTGTAGCCACTCTCCTCAGCATCCCCTGACCCCAACGATGCCCTTGCTTGCCACCATGAGCTTACATTGAGGGCGTCTGAGAAGGGAAAAGGCAGGAATAGATTAGGGACTCAAACTGCAGCACTGACAAGGCTTATCTGCTGAGTCGTCTGAGGAATGAGTGTGAAGGAGAGCCTAACCCAATTGAGTCCCTGGGCAACTGGAACTGTTCCATAGCTATGTATGACCTGCATTTAATAGCCGGGTGTGAAGGGTACATGCGTGTACACATGACCATGTTTCCACTGAAGGGGACCAGTCAGGTGTGTGAAAGCACCCAGCACAGTTCTTGTAACACGGCTTACACAGTTCTTGGAACATGTTAATACCCAGAGGGGGCTGAGTTTAGAGAAATAGCTTATTCGTTCTCAGTGGATTCCTCTGGATTTGATAGTCATTGTATTGAAAGGTCTTATAATGAAGTTGTTTTAATCGAATAATATGTATCTTTAATGCTGTGATACCAAAAATGGCTCAAAGATAAAACCAACAAAGCTTATAATTGAAAAGAAGTAATCTTTGCAGTAGAAGCCCTGTGGAGCAGTGGGCTCCATCAACATTGTGAGCCCCTCGCCCCTTCCTTCATGGGAGCAAGGTGAGTAACTCTCCAAAGAGTTACTGTGGGAATTCAGTAGATTAAAATGTGAACAGTACTACAATAGTGACTGCCATGTAGTAAACACTATATGTGTGAATATTCATGCTGTCTACTTATATCTACACATATATGTATATAGGTATTTGTATTCTTCTAATACTAAGACTTATCTTTCCTTAATTTTTTTTTTTACCATCTCAATCTGCTTGATTGGCAGCTTCAAGGAGCACAGGGCTTAGACGTTAAAGCAAATTCCCGTGAACGCCCTGTAAGAAAATCACAATGGCGAGTAACCTCATTTTTCTCTTTAAGATGTCCATAATTTGTTTCATTATTATCAAATGTAACAGTTTCTTTAACAGTGCTTTGTATCTAAGACAAAGTTTATTCAATAAATAGATAATTAGCAAAGATTTTGCTGAATAGTCAATTTTTGTAAAAGATGTATATACTGAAAGACAGACTTTTGTAATACTTTAAAAAGAAAATGTGCGATAATTTGAATGATATACGTATTAACTCCCAATTAATAATATATCTTTGAAAAGGAAGAAAATGTGCTAGAATTTTGGCTTTTAAATGTTTAGATAGGCTCCATCTTTCATTTAACTTTAATAGGATCCACAGATGCACTTCATGTTTCAGGAATAACTCTCAATCTGCCTTTTTGATCTCTTTATTTTACTTAAACATCTACTGAACTAGAACTCAAGTCCTAAAAATATTCATTTATTTTTACTACCCAGGACTGAGGAAAGCGCAGAAAAACATTTTTATCTTCATTACTTAACCATTTTTAAAAAATTGTGTTTTGGTGAGAGTTTGCATCATAGCATATGCAGTGACGTTGATGCCACTTTTCACAGGGTGCCAGCGTTGTCCTGAATTCCTTCTGATTGTTCTCTGCTCTCATAATTGTTGACCATTGGTATTCTTTCTTAACTCGGGCTGGTAAACTTATTTTAATTTGATAAATGGATTGGGTAGAGCCATATTGAATAATGTCTGAATGATTCTAGCACATTTGCTTTCTAAGTGTTATGAAAATCAGTCCACCAGTATCTACATGTTTTATAATATGACTATTAGCAAAGTCTTTGTTATCTATTTATTGAGTAAAAGTTCACTCTTAGGTATATATCAACGTTGAAGGAATTATTGTATTTAAAAATAATGAAATAAACTTATTAACATCTTAAGGAATAAAAATGAAATTCAAATGGGAATTCCTCTCCTTATTGCTTTCTTTAAGGAAGGAAGGGAGAGGCCAACATTAGAGATTTAGCAAATTATGATAAAAGTTTAAAGTTTGCTTTAATTTACTGTTCCCTGGTCAAAACCCATTACAACAAAAATCTCTATAAATCAAAAAGATTTCTGTTCCCTAGCCAGTTTCCTAATTTTGAGTATTATTCAATAAAAATAATTCCAGAAACAAAAAATAATTGGAACAGGCTCTTAAAGTCGATTATAACCGGATTGACCTGCTTGAAGGCCGTATCCCAGAAGAGCGATCTATCGCTTTTCAGCTTTGACTTCCTTTACTTCTTATTTTTTAATAAAACATTTTTAATTTAGAGCTTATTAAGTGCCTCTGAGTTATGGTCCACTCATGTTTGTAATTAAAGATTTTCCCCCTCCTGTCTCTCAGAATTTCTTCTTAATTTCCTAACATAGTTTCCTTTGTGTATTAAAAAGAGCCCTGGATTAGGAGTCAACATTGACCACAGTGCTGTCGTTAATTTGGGTGACCGTGAGCAAGTCTAGAAAGCTCCCCAGGCCTCACTGTCTTCATCTTTAAATTTAGGAATTTAAGTGAAATAATCTATTAAATTCTGAAATTCTATGATCTTGCAGACTTTCATTTGTTTTTTACTCCTGGCTTCTAATCAATCAAATCTTACAAGTCACTATTAATTAATGGCTGAGAATTTGAATGAAACCTGTGCTAGGCTGTGGTGGAGGACAGAAGTCTTCTCCAGGGGTGGGCACTAGAATTCCTCCCCCCGAACAAGACTGAAGCATTCTCTGAGGAGGGATGAAGAAGCACAGTTTTATACTAGTTTTACTGATAGATAAAAATGAGGTCTCATTTTAGCTTAGACCACGTTAGCTTTCAGCCGTGTACGGGCGTTTGAATTGTACTAATTGTAGTGATCACTAATTGTAGTGATGAAGTAGACTTTCATCTGACTATGGCTGAGGCTCTTTCTTGACTTTGGTGCTGTGTTTAAGTCTCCAGTAAACTGAAGAGTCACATGGCTGTTTTGCAGTTTGTAAAGATTATATTATGGCCTAATGGTCCGATACAGAGATCAGAAGCCCTTCAGACAGATACTCGGCACATCTTGTTGGAGAGGCCTCCAGTACCATCTGTATAGCCATAACTCTTAGGTCAGGGCTTAGTGGCTCCACAGCTTTGCATGGTGCCTGGCACTTAATAAATATTTGTTAAATGATGAATAAACATTTGGAAAGTTTACATGTAGGTGAAGTGATAGCTAGGTCAGAGTGCAAATTTATTTGAGAATCCTTTACATGGGAAGATGAAAAGTAAAGTGCACAGTTGGATTGTATTTTGAATATTGGTCAACACCAATTTCTCTTTTCTTTTTATTAATGGGTAGACCCATTAATACAGTGTAGTGAATATAGCTATAAATCACATTGCTGCTA